ATCTCATTCTATCACACCAGACGATGACATCTCACCATCCACGTAAGATATCTAATATGAGCTGGTTGTTCCGTCACATCCTGCGTTCGTAACTCTTTTGTCATTTGTGACCCAAGGATAGGATCGCTTAGAAAATTAAGGTGTTGGTAATTTCGTGAGCCCATTAGGGGAGAGGATATATGTCGAAATAGGTTCATACCTCTTTAAGCTTACCGGTTGGGCTACCCTCCTTTCGATTGTCGCGGTTCCCGAGGGCCCCAACTTGTCACGAACCGCCGTCCGAGTAAGCCGGGCGTGTGGGATCGGATATTTGCCGGTAGCGCGACAACTGGCGGCAGGGGATACGGGTTTGCGGCGGCGCCACAGAACCGGACGGGGATTCCCCACCTCCCGCCACCAGGAAATCGGGATTCCCCTTTCATACAAACACCATCAGCGTTTTTGTCGGTCGAATGGCCAACACGTAAGATCTTTAAGTGGGACCCGAGGTTAAATAGTTGCACCCCCCAGGCAACCAATTCCAGTTCTCGTCTGTTGGCCCACTCCCTTGTCATCGACCGACAAGAGGAGTTTTCGGGTCCAAATGCCGTGAGAGAGAGAGAGAGAGAGAGAGAGAGAGAGAGTGTGTGTGTGTCTGTGAGTGTCTGAAGTGGACTCCCGTCTCTCTTGCACAGACTCGAACGCCCTTTCCCAGATCCTCCTCTCGATCTCTAGATCTGAACACACTACAAACCTTGGCCCCCTCACCGAATCGAAATCTCTGGAACCCTAAACACCCCCTCTCCGTGACCTACTTGTTGCATTTCTCCGCACTGCCCGCGAAATCTGAGGCCTAGATTTCACCAGGTGAAGAGTCGGTACCACCGGTTAAGGCAGGGGATTGGAGAATGGGGGCGTCGAAGTACACCAAGGGGTGCACAGGATGGCTGATCGTGGCGGTGGTGGCGGTGCTTGTCGTCGCCGCAGTCGTGCTCACGATCAAGCAGACGCACCACCGAAAGGCGCTTCCAGTTCCCGGGCCGCCAGGGGCCATCGATCAGAAGTATGCTAGTGCGCTCGCCGTGGCTTTGCAATTCTTCCAATTGCAAAAATGTATGCTCTCTCCATCTCAAATGTAGGCTCAATATTAGTATCTTTTTTTGGTGTTATAGATCTCCAGATCTCAAAATTAGCCTTTTTCTTTTGTTTACTTAATTATGTAAAATTGTGCATTTTTACAGAAAGGTCGAATTGGAAATGCTTTAAAGATCAAATTTATCTTAGGTTTTTTTTTTTTTCCTCGTGGACTTTGTATATCCTTGTTTATGTTAGTTGATTGCCTGCAGCGGGTAAGTTGGTTAATAACAAGTTCTCTTGGAGAGGAGATTCGGCTTTGGATGATGGAAAAGAGGCAGGATTGGACTTATCAAAGGGAATGTATGATTCAGGGGATCACATGAAGTTTGGTTTTCCCATGGCTTATACGGCAACGGTGTTGTCATGGTCAATTCTTGAATACGGGGATCAAATGTCTGCTGTGAAACTGCTGGAGTCAGCTTTAGATGCTCTCAAGTGGATCACTGATTATTTTATCAATGCCCATCCATCTGACAATGTGCTATATGTGCAGGTAATGAGAACTCCCACACCCTGTTATTACTTGTTTTCCATTTTCAATTGTGGCACCCAATCTGAAGGTTTGCTTTGTGCTTCTCTTGGAACATTTCTCATTGTTGTGTTTGTGCTTCAAGATGTTTTCTGTTGTTTTAGAGATGTAGAAGATTAACTAGATTAAGAGGATTCAGTATAAGAAGGAAGCACGGTGCACTATGAACTTTTTACCATGCCTTCATTGTGGCTTTGCTAGTAAAGTAACACAGTTGCAAATGACGTGTTCTGACTTCAGATTGTAATTTGATCAATCAACTGATGCTGTTCTTCTATTTGGCTACTAGATTTTCTGATTTCTTATATGCAGACTAGGTAATGTTTGATAATTACGTGCAAACAAAAAAAAGGAATTTAAAAAATTTCATAGAATATTCTGGTTTTCATTTAGTATCTGATTGTTGATATGTGATCACAAGAAGTTCAATGGAAACCTAGTTAATGAGTAGGAACAAGATCCATACCCTTGATGGCATTATATCACCTGTATCTAATGTAAATGTGTGCAAAATCCAGATCTCTGCTGTTAATTCCCATCTTCTTTTCCTTGCAATTGAAAGTTCCAGTGTTTTTTCCTTTGTTTAGCACTATAATACATGCGGCAATGGAAATTTGTCTCTGGCTGATAGGTGGGAGATCCTGATATAGACCACAAATGTTGGGAAAGGCCAGAAACAATGATAGAGAAGAGGCCTCTTACACAGGTTAACAAAAGTATCCCTGGAACGGATGTGGCTGCCGAAACAGCTGCAGCTATGGCTGCAGCTTCCCTGGTTTTCAAAACTAGAAATGTCACCTATTCAGATTTGCTCCTTCAGCATGCCGAGAAGTTATTTACTTTTGCTGATAGCTATAGAGGTTCCTACAGTGTCAGCTTTCCCCAAGTCCAGAAGTACTACAACTCTACTGGCTATGGTGATGAACTCTTGTGGGCAGCTAGCTGGCTTTATCATGCCACTGGAGATCAAACATATCTAAGTTATGTTACAGTGCAAAATGGGAATGCTTTTGCCGACTGGGGTAGACCAACATGGTTCAGCTGGGATGACAAACGTGCTGGAACTCAGGTTAATATCTGCATATGTGTTGAGACAAATCCTACTTGCTACTGGTTTAAGTATTAACAGATTTATTTTTCCCATCATCATGGAAGTCCTTTTCATGCAGTCTAGCAGATTAGTCCCTATTTTTACTCTGCTTAGTGAAGTGTCTTTTTTATATCCTAAAATTGATGTATTGTAAAAAAATTCTGTGGTTTCCGTTGTTATGATGTGATTTTGACCACTATGTATAACACTCTTGTAAACAATAGAATTTTGGAAAGATATTCATTTTGCTTTTGTTGTTATCATACTGGGAGTAGCTATTTAGAGAGGACCTAGTGATTATCACATTATTAAAATTATTTGCAACTTTTCATGCAGGTTCTTTTGTCCAGAGTAAATTTCTTTGGTTCATCCCAATCCTCAAATGCAGAGATGAAGGGTCTGCGATTGTACAGAAAAACAGCCGAAGCTGTCATGTGTGGCTTGTTACCAGATTCCCCAACGGCCACTTCCAGTAGAACAGATGGTATAAATCAACATTATTGTTCAGAAATTGTGGTTAACTGCTATAAATTTGCTTTCCCATTCAATTTGACTTTGCTGGTTCAGTTTTATCTCCATCCTAAATAAATCATTTTCCTTCTGCATCTTGCATAATGGATCATTACCTTTATTGAGATGTGCTCTATATATTGAGATCTTAAATAAAGCAGTCACTGTGCACCTTCTGGATACAAATATTTTGTGCTTCTTCTGTCAGCTTCCCTGTGATGATTAAGGTTGATTTTGAAGTCATGAACAAAAAATATCAAAAGATTGGAATAATATGGATAGAGTGAAATGTTACGTAATGCAGATTTATGATTATGATACTGCAGGTGGATTGGTATGGATAGATGAGTGGAATGCTCTTCAGCATCCTGTTGCTGCTTCATTCTTGGCTGTAGTTTACAGTGACTACATGCTCACTTCCCGAACACCAGAAATCCGGTGCAGTGGAAAATCTTTTACTCCTACCGATCTCCGCAACTTTGCTACATCCCAGGTAATTTTGCAGATTCCATTTTCTCATTCGTAAATGCACAAGCTTGGTGGCTAGTGATTATGACTTGGAATTATGATTTTCATAGTGGCTCCTTTATGTGTCGGTTGCTAATAGAGAGAAAATCCACATCCCATTTTTTGGGTCACAATGATGCTGTAAGCTCATCACAGACTCTTATTACATCAGGCAAATCGATCATCCTCGACTGTTGACTTTTGTTTTCAGGCTGATTATATCTTGGGCAACAACCCAATGAAGCTAAGTTATCTAGTAGGATATGGAAGCAGCTATCCTCAACAGGTTCACCACAGGGGGGCATCGATTCCTGCCAACCTCGACACAGGCTGTAAAGGCTTCAAGTGGCTCACGTCGATTGCGCCAAATCCAAATGTTGCCACAGGAGGACTTGTGGGTGGGCCATTTAAGAACGATTCATTCATCGATAGCCGTAACAACTCCATGCAGACCGAGCCTAGCACTTACAATAGTGCAGTGCTTGTTGGATTGCTATCTGGCCTCGTCACCACCTCTTCTGTGGCCACATCCTTCACCTAAATACGCAGCACGAGGCCTCTTCACATCATCAACATGTTACAGTCATGTGTGTAACTCACTCAGGTCACCAATGCAGTATCATTGCAATGTATCACAGTGACAGTCAGTCAACACTTGGGGAATTTTGTTGTGGTCTTCTTCTGCTTGCTTCATTTTCCGGATTTTCTGTATCCTTGTGGGACACTGCCACTGCAGCAATTCTAGGTGTACAAATTCTTGATTGTTTCGTGAGATATGTGTCTGTGCAGTTGGCCATTAAGAACATGTAATGAAGATGATGTTCGCTCAGTGACTTGCCGGTTTAATTCAAGTTGGTTTTGCATTCTGCATCACGATCTGAGAGGAGAAAGTTATGAGCATATTAAATTATGAAGTCTGCATCACAATCTAGAAGGATGTGGATATGTGAGCTCATAAATTAGTCACAAAGCTGATCTGTGGAGCTCATGAGTGAGGTCAACTTGATGGAAGATCTGATACCTCAAGACAAAGGCTGCGAGGAAAATAAAACCAATGTTTGAAATGAGACTGGAAAGGTTGTTAATTCTCATAGCGGACCGGGAACAGGGCATCGAGTGAAAGACACTAATGATCGAAAAAGGTGTTGGATACCCTGCCTGAAGGATCACAGAAGAATATTATAATCATTCATGGACTTGAAGAAAAGCTCGAGCGAAGACCATTGTTTATTGCTTGGCCTACCAAAGGTCTCCATCAAAGTAGAATTGCACCAATTAGAATCGACTCCTTTGTCTTTTGAAACAAAATAATCCTTGTTATATATTCTTATCCTTCCAAGCATAGAGAGACCACCGTTTTGTGATATCATAATTTAGTCTTAAAAGTATCATAATTTAGTATTGAGTCGATGACAGATGTGATGATGATCAACATACAAGATATATATATATATATATATATATATATATATCTTTCTCTCTCTATAATAAATATTAAAACAAGTAGATCACTTGGTTCAATAATGATGTTACGACTGATACATCAGTTTTCAATCCTTTCTCAACAAACAAGATGGATTAATTATGGAGATCAATTTGCATAATGTTGTTATCCATCAGTTGAACCTAATCACCTACAGAATGCTCCAAGAGTACACCTTGAAATTTTCATTAATCGAAAGAAAACAATGTTTAATTGTATTTTTTTTGCCTATTTCTCCAATGAGATCGAGTAGTGAATTCTACATAGAAAAAAAATGTAAGTTGGAATATTAAGATTTTATTATTATTATAAAAATTCTTCAAACTTGATCTTTTTTTTTTAGTCTAAATAAATGCATGGATATCAATTATTGGTCCAAGTTTGGCAAGCAAATCCGTAACCTAAAAGTTTATGCATGGCAACAAAAAGTCCTGTTGGTGGACTGACTGACCAACCACCGAGCAAGTCAAAGTCAAAAGTACTGTTGCTTTAATGTCTTTAATTAATGTACTCATTAGTCGATTGACTAGTGTGGAAAGGAGGAGGCAGTCAAGTCACATCCTCGTGTAAGATTAGCTAATGCAGTGGCGTTCGTAATTTTGAGTTGTATGGATCTATGTTGGAAAATATAATTCATAGAAAAAGATAATAATAGTAGAGACGTCACAAAACTTTCAATTCTTACTTAATTCATTAATATTTTACAATCTCATAAATCCTAAAATTCTCAATAAGATTAAAGTTGCATGTTGTCCTTCCTCCACATGCACAGGAAAGGGCTGTTGCTTATCCAACACAAGCAAGTGAATTATGGTGGTAAGGTAGGCTAATTAATAATGCTCATAAATGACAGTCTGTCTCTTTGCTCAAAAGTCCAAAAGTTGTTGGTGACGGTAACACACCCCCACCCGACCTCTCTCTCTCTCTCTCTCTCTTTGAATGTTAGAAACCACCAAGATGGGATTCACACGCATAAAAGACTTTTGAACAAAGGATCTATCTCTATACAATTTTTTTACAATAAGATTATTTATTTGTTAAAATCAGAAATTCAAAGTCTTAGACAAATATTTCCTTTTGATCAAAATTCCAGTTATACAAACATGTCTTACACCAAATACATACATGTATTTTTCATTCCAAGTCATGATGAGACTTATTTTTATATTTATATTAAAAAATACATGATTTAATTTTCATATTAAAAATTATTATCGTTTAATATCTTAGTCGGTTAATTAGTTGATACCTTCAAAATTATTTTTTTATATCATCTTTTTAAAAAAGTATTTAAATTTTGTTCGATGGATTTTTGACACGTCTTTTTCTGTTCGATCCCTCTTTTAGGTTTCAATAATTATACTAATAGAAATCATGAGAGACTAACACTTTTCCCTCAGTGGCCTCTCCACACCCAACGAACTCATGAAGCCACTACATTAATGTCTTCTTCCGCCATGCAAATTCACACCTCATCTAATAAATGCCACCGCCCACTGTCAAACTTCGTCTCTCTCAAATCACCCAATCCCCCCACACCACATCAGCCCTGCCTGCAATCTCGACTCTTTCATGACCAAATCAAACATCAGAGGATCACCAAAGTTGTCATCTACTTTTTCTTTTTCTCTGCACTGAGCAGCTCTTCTCTCCCTCACCGCAATGACCACCGGAAACTGGTCAAACAAAGCACTCAACACCGAAGAAGAGAGAGAAAAAAACACCTGTCGAAAGAGATGGAATAGGGAGTCGTAATTACTGTCTGTAAGCACTTTCAGGCTACCATTCTTATATATCCGTCAGACGGACAAGGGAGAGGTGGCAGCACACGCAACGCGAACCGCAGGTCGTGGCCTCCCTTCTCACGTACAACTCGCCTGAAACTAGCTGGTATTTGTCGTGGACTGCTCCCGATCTGTCTTCTTCTCGTGTGTTGCCGATCCTACTTCTTTTGATCCGCCTGTACGCGCACGTATGGCTTTGTCGTCGTCATCGCTACTTGGTTGGAAGCCCAAGCAGCAATCTTGAACTGAGCTCCAAGATATGGCATGTTTTGGCTGGTTTCGGAAGAAGGCGAAGGGCGCGCCGGAGAGGAACAGCGGTCCGGCCGTGACTGCCTTGAGCAGCAGCAGCGCGAGCCGGTCGGATGGGTCGGCCGCCGGGAAGCAGAACCCAAGCAGGTCCACGGGGCCTTCGGCTTCCCAGAGGAGCATCCCAGCGTTGTACGAGGAGAGGGCTCACAACCTGCGCGTCTTCGAGTACGACGAGCTGAGGGCGGCTACCGATAACTTCAGCAGGATGAACAAGATTGGGGAAGGTGGGTTTGGGGGCGTCTACAAGGGCTACATCATACCTCCCGATGGAGAAGAGGGCCGGACGCTGGTGGCGATCAAGAAGCTGAACCAGAGAGGACTGCAGGTATACGTAATATATGTCTGTGACGAATGCTAGCAACGATACTTGTGTTCTAATGCAGCTTCGAATTGCATAGATTGGTATACCAGGAAATCCATTTAAGAGAATAGCAGTCAAAATCAATAGTATATGTATGATGTTACTGAGAGCTGCAATGCGATATTAGATATCGAATTGCACGGCAAAACTTGCCACCTTGTCTGGAGGGGGCCGAGATTGAAAGGCAAAAGCAGGGGAAAAGAGAAAGATGGAATTTCTCTAACCTAATATTTTCTCTCTCGGATAGTAGATGGATTTTAAGTGAAGAGGAGAGTTTTCTGCTGTCCTTCTTTCTCATCATTATCCAAGCAGTAGTAAGGGTATTTGGTCTGCATATTTCTCTTCTTATATCCAAGTAAATTGCAGCATCAGATCTATTGGCTCTTTAACATGATTCCCAGTACACGATGGAATCTGCACTGCTACATGACATCCTACAGATTACAAGCCCATGTGTTTCGCTTAGTTTTTAAAGGAAGCATTTAAATTACTTGTCTGATGTTCTGTTAATAATTCTATTAGGGCATCTGTCTCAGTTTCTTCATTTATTCTAGCTTTGGCAATGCCATTTGAATCATATAGTTGCAGATCCCAGCTAAGATAGCTGGCTTTGCTGACTTTGTCAAAATAGTCGAGAAACAATTGGTTGATATCGGATCATAATAAGTTTTACAACTTAGGCACTGGATCCTATTAGATTCATGGCACGTTGCATAAAATAAAGAACAAGCTTTTCATGACTGTGAATTTGGAGGTCGTATGATTGTTGACATACGGTTGTATGAATTCCCAGCTTCACACACTGATACTGAACTCCTGGAATTGATGATGCATGGAATTGGCAAGTAATAGGACAAAACCAATCAGTTAGGCTGGTTATACAGGCTTTGATGTTTGTTTTAACTAATAGTTAATGGACCATACTAAACCAATCTATAGATTGTATACAATTTAAACTGTGATCTTGATTTTTCTTTTTTCTTTTTGTTTTCTAATTATTGACTTTGAGCATAGAACATTACACCTGAAATCACCTTCAATTTCTTCCCCAAAACCTTCTATACTTTTTCTTATTCTTAAACATGTTGCATTGTAGCAGAGTTTCCATTGTCATTTAATTAATATTAATTACTTTGTATAAGAACTCATCGTTAACTGCGAAGAAGAAAAAAAGATGAGATGAAACACATACTGAAAGATATCTCATTGATTTCCTTATATAAGCTTATAAGAAGAGATTTGAAGCTTACAAGAAGAGATTTGAAAGAAACAAAGATAAACAAATCAACTCATCCATCTGAAAGTCCTAGGATAATGATAGATTATACCATCCTGTCATTATTTACAAAAGATAAAGCAATCTAATTATCATGTGCCCTATGTGTGGCATCTGTCATATAATACATTATGCCTGTTTGTAATCTCTCTTTGAAGATTTAAGGGAGAGAGTTACACTGCTGATTATCAATATTTGTTGATACATGTTGGATCATTAACATTGCATCTATTAAACTTGGGAAATGCCATTATTGTCATCTATCTAATCCTGATTTGCAATAAATCTTGTCTATTAGTTATCTTTTTTTCTTACAATTTTCAAACATCGACATATTTTTAGATGTCTTTGCTTCCTTGAATGATCAACCATTGTTAACATTTTTTTGCCACTTAGGGTCACAAGCAATGGTTAGTAGAAGTACAATTTCTTGGAGTTGTTGAGCACCAAAATCTTGTGAAACTTCTTGGATATTGTGCCAAAGATGGTGAAAGAGGGATTGAGAGATTATTGGTGTATGAATTTATGCCTAACAAGAGTTTGGAAGATCATCTATTTAACAGGGCTTATCCTGCGCTTCCCTGGAATTTGAGACTCCACATAGCTTTGGGTGTGGCACAAGGATTGGCATATTTGCATGAGGGGTTAGATGTGCAGGTTTTTCCTAACCCTTTTAGAATATTTGCTACTTTCATCCCTTGTTTCCTGCTCTCATCCTGATATACAAATGTATCCAATTTTGTTGCTATTTTAAACAGCAATTAGCTTTGAGAATAACATAAACTACAGCTTATGGTTGTGATCCATACCTTTTATTTCAAACCTTTTGTTTTCTTTTCAGCTAGTCCTAGCAAATGATTGTATAGTTTGTTGGTTTGATTTTGATTCGAATGTAATGTATTAGGTAATTTGTTTTTTCATATCCGAGTCCTTGGATGAACAACCACTGCCCTGATCAATAAGAGGTGCCAACAAGTGATGGTTCCACTTTCAGTTTATTCTTTGGTCTGAAATTTGGTGTCCTGTAAGTTTTTGACTTCTGAAAACACATAAATATGTTGCAATCCGTATCAGATATAGATTCAACTGGGATAGTTTAACCAGCTAGATTTCATTCTATATGCATCTCCATTCTACTTAGTAACCCCAAGGGAAAGAAAAGTATATCTGGATTTCAATATCTGATGACACCTTTTTGGTTAGGGATAGTAATGGTGACAATTACTTTGTATATTTTGCAATTGAAATCAGATTTTATCATTTAAAAAAAAAATCAAAGTGAATGATTGATTCATTCAATAATAAAATAATCGCAGGAAATCCTTTGATAACACGGATTCCTATTTCTCAATGATATTCCATGATCGAGACAATCAGTTAAATCTCATAAAGCCATTTCATAGTTCATTGATATATCTCCTTTTAGGAAAAGAAAGTATCAAGAAAGTATGCCTAAATTCATGGTTAACTTAGTAAATTACATTTAAAATTCTAAAACATAAGGTATGACATGATATAGTTACTTTCTTGAGGTAATTAGTAAAGACAATGAAAATTGTTATTGTTGCTGTGCTCAAACTTCTTCTCTGCATTCTTATTACCGCTTGCCTAATTCATTTTGCTTTTGCTTTTCGAGAAATGTAATTATGGATTACTGATTTCGAGCTTCTAGTTATATTCCACCTATTTTGGCAGGTTATATATCGCGATTTTAAAGCATCAAATGTGTTATTGGACAAGGAGTTCAATCCAAAACTGTCGGACTTTGGCTTAGCAAGAGAAGGACCTACAGATGGGCACACTCATGTTACGACAGCGGTATGCCTACATTGCATACACTACTCAATTATCTGCCTTACTACTCCAATTACATAGAACTTCAGACATATTGTTAGAACATAGCTTATTCTAGATTTTACTGTGTTATAGTTATTAAGACCTTAGTAATTCATCTGACAACTAGCTGTTTAGGTCTAAACATGAGCCTCAACTGCCACAGTCTCTAGTTTTCAGTCTTTGGCATGGACTCTATGTGGCTGGCATGGCTGTTTATGCCAATATAATTGCTATGATATGTTCTTTCCAATCTATCTTTTTTTCCTTTTTATTATGAAACAATTAGGACATAGCTTATTCCAGATATAGTGTCATAATCACCATCTGCGTTCAGTCTCTTGGTCAGGCTCTACTTGGCCGGCGCACAATTGCTATGATACATTGCATAATGCACACTCTTATAACAGTTTTTGTTTTGTTATAACACATGCCTTTATTACAACAGAGTAGAATTCATGCTTTTCTCATCAAAGTGAATTGCTTAGATCAATACAAATGCTATGATATATTCTCGTCGATCTATCTGTCGTTTTCATTTTAGTATATAATAGTTATTGGCATAGTTTATTCTAGATTTTACAGCATCACAATTACCAAGATCTGAGTAATTCATCCGAAAACTAGATTCTTGTGGTATAAACGTTGACATCCATGGATACTGACTGACACAATTTCTGATTTCCGCCTTTTGACACTGGCTCTAGTTGGCCGGTGCAACTGCTTACGTCAATTCAATTGCTATGATATATTCCATAATGCATATTCTCGATAACAATTTTGCTTTGTTAAAAGTGGTATCCGAGTAGAATTCATGCTTTTGTTATTTAATGGAGTTGACAGGTAGTAGGAACATATGGGTATGCAGCTCCAGACTACATAGAGACGGGGCATCTCACAATTAAGAGTGATGTTTGGAGTTTTGGGGTGGTTCTCTATGAAATCCTTACAGGCAGGCATTCGTTGGATAGAAATCGACCAACAAATGAACAGAAACTTTTGGATTGGGTGAGGCAATTCCCTGTAGAAGCCAGGAAGTTTACCATGATCATGGATCCGAGATTGAGAAGCGAGTATTCTCTCGAAGCTGCACGCAAAATAGCTAAGCTGGCCAACAGTTGCCTCGTCAAGAATCCTAAGGAGCGTCCATCAATGAGCCAAGTCGTCGAGTGCTTGAAACAAGCCATGCAAATGGATCCAGTAAAAGAGCATACTTCTGGAAACAAGTCAAACAGGAAGAAAACTGATGCAGTATCTTTATCTTCAAGGAGCCATTGATATGGTCTTGAAGAGTTGTAGAAAGTTAAAACAAATATGATGCCTTGTTCCGCAAGAGAAATATTTTCTGAATTTGTTTGCTATTGTGTTCTCCCATTCTTTCTCCTTTTCGGATATGTAACCAAAGAGAGGAGATAGAATCCAGAGTTTTGGTGATGAAAAAAGACAGGTGAATAAGTTTGACATTGCAAGCAGTGTTGATGTATGACACCACCAATTGAGTGAATAGAATGACCATTCTGTCCTTTCCTCCTCTTTTTGATCAGTTCTGCATAATCTCTGTCATTACAGCTTCCTTTCTGCATAATTTCTCGCAAGATGGTTTGTAGTAGTAACTCATGAAGCTAAAAGTGGTTACATAGTGGGTATGATTTTTTTGCCTTGGAGTCCAGAGGAGGGTATTGATTGAAACAAGTATCCAATTCTTAATAGCTAATGACTTCAAAAAATATAGCTACTGAATATGTTATCCGGCTCTGTGTTTTAGGTTTTGGATTCCGAACAAGGCTTCAGCCAAATCTAAAAGCATCATTTGAGTGCCATCATGTGACTCGACAACCAAACCTATAACTTAACATTCCAATCTCTCGGTTCTCTCCCTTGGTTTGGTTAGAGTACCGGTATTACTTATCTTAAGACAAGGGTTAGTAGATAAAATTCATCAATTTATTTTTCTCATCAAAATATAATAAGATTCAATGATTTTTATTTATTTATTTATTTTTTTATGATGACAAACAATCGATGAAGAGATCTAAAAACTTTCCTGTCTAACTAGAGCATGCACTAAGAGATTAGTGACTAACAAGGGCTTGACATATGACGACACAGTCAGGGTTCGATCTACTCTAAAATGCCTATCATACCATATAAATCGAGGTTTGTGATCATTCATTAGAATTACTCCACCCTTATCAGTAATTTACTTGAGCATCGGAGGGATCGAGTCAAGAAACTCAACCGATCTTAGTATTTATCAAGGTCCATCGCAGAGTACATGTTCGAGTACACCTTCGCCCTTAAAAGGAGCATCTAAGCCAATCCATAGGCTACCTCAAACCTCTTGCACACATTGGCTTGAACCGAGTCAAATTGATTTGGACATCGTTTATATTATTTTTATCATTTTGGTGCTAAAAGAAGGGCTCATGTCGCAAGAGTATCAGCCCATTGACCCGCTCAATGGGCGCTCTAGTGAGGGTGCTTCGCTCCTAACTCACAATGTAGCCAACATGGCCAAAGACACTCTTATACAATGACAATATAATCGGTACGACTTGAAGCGCTCTTCTACGACAACAATGCGACCGAGACTACCCAAGATGCTCCTCTACCATGATAAAATGGCTAACATGTCCCGAGATGCTCCTCTGCCACAATTGCTATTCATAGGTGCCCTGCAGGCCAATCACATGAGTGTTGATACATGTGACTTGACACGTAGTCTTTTTACTTATTATTATTATTTGGCATTTTATCACTTTATATTGCTTATTGCATGAATATATTATGATGTCCATGAATCTGTACAATAAGAATCAGATCATGATGAGATTACGATAATGAGACTGATTCGTCTTTAAACACATATCCTAAATAATCTTAGTCATAGGTTACTCGAGAGGGATATCGAGATAATTGGACAGACTAGTATACTGTATACTCATACATATGATGGAGGTGGCTGGTCTCATAGCTGCTCGTGTGGGGACATTAGGGATATAGTGCAGGTGCTCATTGGAGAATGAGTTCACTAATTGATTCACTCACGGAATGCTAGATGGTTAATCATACCTTATTATCAGATAGCAATTTTGTTATCCCAATGATGTACTTGGTCCTTATACTTGACATACTAAGAATGTCCTGTATGAGTACTCCATCTTTAATACCGGACTTATAGGTTTGAAAGTTTCAGATCTAGTACAGCCGGTCATCGGGAGTGGCAGCTAACTTTACAAGGACTATTGAGTGTCGATAGAGGATCATCCACTCTCGGTGTCATGAGAGGAATATCCCATGTATTCTTGCTCAAACAAATCCCTTGTTAGGATCGTTCGGATTGAGAGAGAAAGAGTTCTTCGGGAGAATCTGATTAGAGCGAGACTCGAGTAGAAACCATATGGGTCTAACAGTACCATACCAGGTATACGATCTCTAGGATATTAGATGAATGAGGGGCTATAGGTACACGGTAATTGAGGATAGACAGGTCCAATGGATTGGATTTCCCTATATCGTCTGGGGACTACAACGTAGTGGCCTAGTACGTCCACAGTCTATGAGTCGAGTAAATTATTATGGAGATATTAATTCACTAAGCCAAAAGGAGTTCTAACAGGTATGACTCACGACTAGCTCGATATTGGGCCTAGAGGGTCATACACATATGGTACGCATTGCGACGAATAGAGGTTCAGATATGAGATATCTGTCGGAGCCCCTATCTTATTGGATATCCAATAAGCTCTTGAATTATTGGATCTTATGGATGAGGTCTAATAAGAGATTATTAGATAGAGATCTACTAATATAAGATGAGTTAATTGGATGTGTTGAATCTCGAATTTTGATGATGAAATCAATTGATGAGTTAATTGATCTAATCCATATTATTGAGTTAAGTGTGTAGGATTAACTATGATAGCTTGAAGACATAAAGCAAGTCTACCGGAGTCAAGTTCGATGGGTGTTCGAGAATCCGTCGAGAGTCCGAAGGATCGGGCGGTGGTACCGCCCAGACTAGGCGGTGGCATCGCCTAGAACCCGAAGGATCGGGTGGTGGTACTGTTGGACTGGGCGGTGGCATCGTCCAGCACCCGAAAGATCGGGCGGTGGCACCGCCATCGACAAGCGGTGGCACCGCCAGCTCCGGGAATCTAAGAGGAATTCAAAATTTGGAGCCCAAATTTGAATCCTCTTGTGGTCTATAAATACCCCTCAATTCTCAGTAGAGAATACAACCTTTGAGAAGTTAGAGATTGAGATAAAGCCTTAGCAATGTCTTTAGCAAGTCTTGTTTTCAATAGCTTAAGTGTTCACCTCCCTCTTTCTCTTTGAAAAATCTGTAAGAGTGTGAACCACTTGTAAAAAGGTTGTAAGAGAGGTATTTGGTCCTTCCCCTTCAAAGTGATTTGCTAGTAGAAGTTGGGAGCCTCATCGAAGAAGGATTCGCAAGTGGATGTAGGTCATTTGATCGAACCATTTTAAATTACGGTGTTCCTTGAATGTGTGAGTGTTTAACTTTCTGAAACATTTATTTACTTAGCAGCAAACTTTTGGTTTTCATTTCCTTCCTTTACTCGAGCTATTTTTACTAAGTCATCATTCGTCGAATCAAAATCTCTACACATTTATGAAATCGATTTCAAACTTACAAGTTTCAATCCGCTGCACTAATTCACCCCCCCCTCTTAGTGCCACTCCGATCCTAACAATTGGTATCAGAGTTAGGCTCACTCTCATATTTGGTTTAATACCCAAGAGAGATGACTTACTCTAGCATGCATGAGGGTCATTCCATTACATGTCTGCCTATGTTTAATGGGTCGGATTACATGTATTGGAAAACTCGAATGAGGATCTTCCTCATTTCCATGGATTTCGAGCTTTGGACTATTGTCGAAAATGGATTTAAAAAATCTTCTCTTCAGATGAGCGAATGGAATGAATCAGAGACGAAGGTTTTTGCTTTAAACGCAAAGACTATGAATGCCTTGTTTTGTGCATTGGACAAGAATAAATTTAATCACATTTCAATTTGTGATTCGGCTTTTGATATTTGGAGAACTCTTGAGGTCACTCATGAAGGCACTAGCCGAGTGAAAGAATCCAAAATCAACATTCTTGTGCACTCTTACAAACTTTTTCGAATGAAACCAAGTGAGTCCATCGGAGACATGTACACCCGTTTTAGGGATGTCATCAATGGACTCAAAGCTCTTGGTAAAAGTTTTTCTAACTTTGAACTAGTAATTAAAATTTTAAGATCCATTCCAAAGAGTTGGGATCCAAAAGTTACGACCATTCAAGAGGCCAAGGACCTTAAAATATTTCCTCTTGAAGAACTTATTGGGTCTCTAATGACCTACGAAATGACGTGTCATGCTCATGAAGAGCTTGAGAACCCCCTTCCAAAGAACAGGAAGGATATGACACTTACATCACAAGAAGACCACTTGAAAGGAACATCAAGTGATGAGGACAGTGACGATGACATTGCACTTTTAACTCAAAAATTTAAAAAAATTATAAGAAAGAATAAATTTAAAAATAATACTAAAAACAAACTTGAACATAAAAATGATCAAGTAATATGCTACGAATGCAAGAAACCAGGGCACTTCAAAAATGAATGCCCCCAAGCCAAGAAGAAGCAACCGAAGAAGAAGAAAGCTTTACAAGCGACTTGGGACGATTCAAGTTATTCCAAAAGTGAAGAAGCTAGCAACAAAGAGGAGGCAAACTTCATGCTAATGGCTTTAGGAGAAGAGGTATGTGATTTAATTAATGAAGATTTATCTTTCGATGAACTTTCTATCGCTTTTGATGAATTATTTGATGAGTGTAGAACTATTAATAAAAAGTTTAATCTATTAAAGAAAGAGCATGTCTTACTATAAAATAAGCTTGATAGTCTTCAAACTCCTCCATGCTCTAAGTGTGAACACTTAGAAGTAATACAAAATAAAAATTTGCTACTTAAAGAAACCTTAAACAAGTTTAAGGTCGGTAGCAAGGGATTGGACATGATCCTTGTAAACAAGGGTCACGTCGTAAATAGAAATAGAATTGGTTTTGTGAGAGGATCTCACCAAAATCCTATCACTTTCATTAAAGGACCCATATTACATGTTTCACCTCGTTTGAAATATAACTTTTGTTGTAAATTCGGATATGTTGCTTACAAATGTCCATTTAGGAAAATTAGTCCACATAAGTTGATATGAGTTCCTAAAGGAACTATAAATAGTTCAATGATGAATAACAAAATTGGTAGATCAATTTTTGAGGCACCCAAAATCAAATGGGTACCTAAAAACCATCCTCTTTTGTAGACAAACCCACAAGCTAGGAGCAAGAGATGGTGTCTTGATAGTGGATGCTCAAGATACATGACTGGAGATCCATCTCATTTCTTTATGATCACTAGCAAAGAAGAAGGGTATGTCACCTTCGGAGACAACAACAAAGGCAAAATCATTGGCAAGGGAACCATAGGTAACAAATTAAAATTTTCAATTGA